TAGAGGTAGTAGGCTAAAGTTGGTAAAGATTAAAAAAAATAATTTGCATCAAATGTATTTGTTTATATTTTGCCTCCGATTTGAGAGTTCTTATTTAAGTGAATTATCAGTCTTGCTTAGTAGACATTTGTTTGAATGCCCTAGGATATTTCATCTACAAGGATGAATGTTTCTTTAAGAATGAAAGATAACCCAAAAACTGATAAGGTATTTGGATGGGTATTAGAAATGTGAGAAATTTTTTATTAATTTTGTTTTTATTTTTTTCTTCATGTGGCCTTTCACATAGGTGATCATTTGATTAAACTTAGGTATGCATATGCTACGACACCAACAATGCATGGCATACACCATATACTTCATAAAGACTTCATGCTTCAGGTTCTAGCAATACATTATGAGTCCTCTTTTTTCCCTCAATAACTTTTAACCAATAGTTGAAATTTAACTTCAATCTTTGTTTGTTATCAACCATAATGGGATTTGGAAACAAGAAGAAGTTTATATTCCATTATACTTATGGATGTGACTACAATTTAAAGGTATAAGAATCTCTCTTTCTAATTTGTTGTATTTGAAGACTAATGTATACGCTCTGATTTTTTACATCGTTAAGATGAATTTTGCCTTTTTTTTCCTTTTTTTAAAACGAAAATCTATTTCTTGGCCTTATGTAATTATAGGATGAATGAACTTTTTTTAGACATCACTTCATTATTCAGATCGAGTTGCACCTTAATTTACATAGGTTTTTTTTTTTTTTTTTTTTGAGAATGCTTCTCAATTTGTTGGTTGACAATGTCTCTAACTTTATATAAATAGTCAATTGATATGATTTTCACTTTTACCTGTTGGTTTTTGCCATCTAGAAATCCTTAAATCATAATAGACAATAAGATGGCAATCATTTTTCATTAACAGCTTCTTCTATTCAACATAATGTAGATCCTATTTAATGTCTTTATGATATGAAGATATTTTTGGTTTTAAACCATGCAATTTTTGTTTCTATAAGCAACTCATTCACGAAGAATCATTCTGCTACTGTTGGTCAAAATTTGTCTATTATTACCATGAAACCACAATTACTTCAAGGAATTCTAATGATAACTCCACATTCAATGCTTCCCACATTGAGCCATGGTAAACTTGAAGATTTTATGCTCGAGTTCAGTTACTTTAGCCAAAATGTTGATAATAGGATGTTAAAACTTAGTTGGAATTCTTGTCTTTTTAGACATTTCTAAAAAAGTTCATTCCTCCTTAAATTGATGAACACACTTCTTTATATCTACTTTTTTCTTTTTTTGGAAATATGGTTTTAATTTTTTTTCTCTCTTGATGGACTCCACATTGCCTTTTTTTTTTAAAAGAAACTCCATATTGCTCTTTCTATGTAAATAAAGATGTATTATATCTTACTTTTTTTTATACATAAATTCTTAGATTGATTTTGTTTTGATTATTTATTTCTTAGTATACTATTTTTTATATATCTCAAAATTTCGATTATGTTAAATAAAAAAACCCGTGGTGAAGTACGGGCATCATACTAGTTATAATAAATAAGAAATGAAATATATTTGTTTATTAAAAGTAGATGATAAAACCAAACATATTAAAACTAAATAATAAAATTAAACATGTTAACTTCTATTTCATTCTTTCACATATTATATCCATCTTTAAAAATTTTGTAAATAAAATTTTATTGAATTAATATATATGTGTGTGTGTATTTGTCTATTATGAAATATGTTTTATCTAAATAGTGTTTAGATTATATTTGTCAAAATTCATATAATTAATTTTAGCTATGCAAGTATTGTTTGTATTGTAAAAAAAAAATTATTTTTTTATATTCAAAAAATGTTATTCATGCTAATTTTATTTGGAATTTTTAAAAATTAATTTTGCATTTCAATAAAAAATTTAAATTAACTTAAAATATTTATTCCTGCTAGTCATAAATCCTCAATCCATCCTGCTTGTGTACCCCTTAAGTTTGGCATTCAAGTGTTTTTTTGGTACTACTATAGTCTCACATGATCAAGTCATATATCTTTGTGAAGCCATCGAAACTCAGGTACAAACTTTTTGCTCTTGCAACGGTCTTTGTGAAGCCATCAAATGCTGAAATTAACTTCGTCGTTTCTGAGGGCAAGAAGTTGATCAATCTAACGGTTGCTTTTTGGGCTAGAATCTAGGAACTCACTTTAAATGATTGCTCTAAATTTATTCTATAAGTTAGAATTAGAATTAATCAAAATGGAGACCTAATTCTTTCATGCTTTGCAATCAGTTTTATAAAAAAAAAAAAAAATTATTAACAACCCAATAAAAAATCAAAAGATTTGTATTTAATCTCAACAAATCATGCAACCATTATTAATATTTAATCTCAACAATGAATATGGTGGTGGCAAATGATATCAAGAGCAAATTTGGTATAAAAAAATGCATGAGAAGGTAATAGCGCTCATTATTTTCAAAGGTAAAAAATATATATGAATGACTATCAATTTTTTTTTTCGTGTTACACATTTTCTATTTCTTGCTTTCTTTTTTTTCTCTATTTCTTGCTTTTTTCATTATTATTCAAGTTAATTATCATATTAATCTTGAATTTTTTTAGATTTTCTTTTAATCTATTGCATGTGCCCATTTGATCTATTACATGCCTCTTAGGAATTTTTATTTTTGTATGTACAAGCTTCTTTTAATATTATTACTTGCACATTATATAATAGTGTGTTTATCATAATTAATCAATAAATTAAGCATTATAAGTTTATCTGGATTTTTTTTTCAATATTTGCAAAAATGTTTTCCTTTCTTTTTTCTTTTTTATTTGGTTGTCCTTAAAGAGAATTTAAGATTATAATGAAATTTTATTTTTTAAATAAAAAAGAACATGAATTTTTTTTAATTTTATTTTTCAATTTGCTATTCGTATTTTTAAAGGTTTATTTTAATATAATTCTTTTTTAATTTACATTCCATTTATATATTTTTATTTTAATTGAGTATTTAGTTAGAAATTGATTAGATTATTTAATTATCCCAATGATGTCTTTATCAAAATCATTGCTTTTAAATTTTCATTGCTCAACGTTACAATTTCAATATTACATATAGCATATACTGTATATTAAAAGATCATTTTGAATCAAGCCTCCATTTTTTTATCTTTATATATAACTATATTTTCTTATTTATCTTTTTCAATTGTGAATATAAAATATTGTAAAATTAAATAAAATATATATTGAAAAGCTTTTGAAGAAAGCAAAGGATATTATGAATTTGAGTATGAAATATAAGATGATGAAAAAGATTTTATGATTATATAGTTTGAACCTTTATTTAAGTTTTAGTGCATATATTAATTATCATATCTCCTTAAATTGCATGACTTTTAATATCATTTCGAAACAATTTTATTTCTTAAAAACAAAAAAAAAAAGTGAATAGAATGGACTAATAAAAGAGTATAAATGAAAATAATGAAAATAAATAAAAATATCTAATAAATTAAGAAAATAAACAAAACCAAATCTAGTTTTATCTTAGGGCAAATAAATTTTAAAAGATAAGTATATTAGCAATTGCCAAATCTCTTCTTTAATATACTATTTAATTGAGTTGTAATTGATATAATTTCTTTAATATTTCATTTAATTATATTGCATATAATATTTAATGTTTAATAATTTTTTCCTCTCTGTTAATCTTAAATTGATAAGTCAAGAATCAACAATTTTTTATTTTTTGGATAAATAATTTAAAAAAAAATTTTATTTATCATATTTTTATTATCTTTATATTAAATAAATTTTTTTGGACAAATAAATTTTTTTAAAATTTTATTTATCATGTTTTTATTATCTTTATATTAATAAAAAATGGGCAACGAAAATGAAATAAATATATAGCTTTTTTATTACTATTTCTATTACCAACTTTTTTTAATAGTTGATTTTTTAATTAATATTTATATCAATTTGTAGTTATTTTAATTTTGAAAAATCAATTCAAGATATCTTGTAAATTAACTATTATATATATATATATCTTACACATATAAATTAAATAATAAAAATAAATAAAGTTTATCTGTACTCATTAACTAGTTTATATATATTATATAATTTATATAATTAAAGAATAAATATATATAATGTTTCATTTAAAACATTATAAATTATGTTAAATTATTTATGTTTTAAAATTTAATTTAAAAAATAAAATTATTAAAAAATAAAAAAAATTAACATAATTTAGGTGTGCTTGGACGGCATCATTTACAAGTTTGAAAGTGACTTAGGACAAACTTTACAACTCCAATTATTAAAACGAGTTAAATATGGTAAACATGTATAATATTATATTCAAATATATCATTGACCATTTAATTATAATTATATTTTTAATATAATTATTTAATTATTAAAATTTAAATAATTATTTTTTTATCATTTTATCATTAATCTTTAATAGTATTTAAGTAACTGTCAACTATCATATGATATTATTATTTTATTTGATGTGACACGTAAAATTATAAATAAAAAAAAATGAATTTTGTTGACGTAAACACGTGACATTTATCGAGTGATATGATATTATTAGGTTAACACACAAATTAACTATTGAACGAAGAAAATAAACTTATCCAAAATTTAATAATTAAATTAAAATTTTAATATTTGAAAGATCATTTCAAAAATATAATTATAATTAAATAACAATAATATAATTTAATATATTATATTTAAACCTCTATCGGACCAAAATACATTGGTACATTTGATCTACTCCCCCAACAGAAAAAAAAAACGTAGCGGGGTATAATAGTAACTGGACCTTAGCGGAAAAAGGATCGGACGGTGAAGAAATTCTAGAAAGGAAGAGAAAAAAGTGGGAGTAATCAAATCCAACGGCAGAGAGAGTTGCGTCAAAATAAAGCAGGGCTTAAGAGTTGAAAACCTGAAAAGCCCTTCTACAAATCCTTTCTGCAGGCCGTTTCCCAAATCATTCTGTTTCAATTTCTCCTGTTCTCTCTCTGCTTTTGCCAAACAAACCCCAGATTCGTAGATTCTCTCTATTCTTTCGTTAACACTTTCGAGTTTAGTAATCAATGGTGAATATTCTCGCTCTATCTCTCGATTTTTATGTTTGTTTTGTTGCTTTGATATCTGAGTAATAATATAGGGCTTTTTGTTTTTCTTTAGATATTGATATTTGTTTTTGCTGTTTCGGTGGTTTAGGCTTTGCCGAACCAACAGACCGTTGATTATCCGAGCTTCAAGCTCGTCATCGTCGGCGATGGAGGCACTGGTAATTTCTTTTTTCTTTGCTTGTAGATTCAATCTTAAAAGTTTTTTTTTTTTGCTTTATCAGCTTTATTTTCATTATACTTTTTCGCTTCCAAAGTTTGTGAATTGGTGTTAGAAAAACATTTAAATATTTTTGTCACTACAGTAATATGTTTTCACCTTCAGCTTTTACTTAGTCATGAAAACTAAGTTATTTATTGATTAAGAGGACGCATTGTTTTGGAATTACTTGAACGTGCTGTGATGGGTGCAGGAAAGACCACATTCGTGAAGAGGCACCTGACTGGAGAGTTTGAAAAGAAATACGAGCGTAAGTGTTTCATCAACATTGTTACGGGGAAAGTTCTCTTTGATTTGTGAGCAGTTTGATTAACTGATTGGTTTGTTTTTCGCGTTTGCGTTAAGTGTTTTATGGTTTTGATTGTGCAGCAACTATTGGTGTGGAGGTTCACCCCTTGGACTTCTTCACTAACTGTGGAAAAATCCGTTTTTACTGTTGGGATACTGCTGGGCAGGAGAAGTTCGGTGGTCTCAGAGATGGTTACTAGTACGTGATGATGTTATTGTTCCCACCTGTATCTTTAACTTGTTGAATAATCCATTGAGTCTGAAGTAGTTGAAATCCTTTTGGTTATGCCCCACTGAGTTATATCATGATCGTGCACTTTGTTATCTATTATCATCGATGTGTTCTGCTGATGATTATCTATTTAGTGTTATAATATTAGCATGGTAAAGAAATTTCTTTTAGTTAAGGTTCAAAGATTCTGTTTTCCTTACCCATTGGCTTATACCATTGCTTTTTAATGGCTTTTTGTTGATTAACCCAAAATGTTATACCTATCACCATTTTTCTTTATTATTTATGGCTATTATTATTGCTTTGTTGAGTGTTCTTTTTCTTACATTTTTATATTATGGGTTGCAGCATCCATGGGCAATGTGCCATAATTATGTTTGATGTTACTGCCCGCTTGACATACAAGAATGTTCCTACATGGCACCGCGATCTTTGCAGGTGTGTTAAAATTGACTGTCTTATCATTTATGGTTTTGTTTTGGTTCTGGTGTAACTGCTTTATGTAAATATGTTGTTGCAAATGCAGGGTATGTGAGAATATTCCTATTGTTCTGTGCGGTAACAAGGTTGATGTGAAGAATAGGCAGGTCAAGGCAAAGCAGGTCACATTCCACAGGAAGAAGAATCTGCAATATTATGAAATTTCTGCCAAGAGCAACTACAATTTCGAGAAGCCTTTCTTGTACCTTGCCAGGAAGCTTGCAGGGTAACAGTACATTGCCTTTCTTACACAATTAATATGTTTATGCCGATGCTTTGATTGATGCCTAACATTGATGATGCCTTGATGATTTTAGTGATCCTAATCTTCACTTTGTGGAGTCTCCTGCTCTTGCTCCTCCAGAAGTACACATCGACTTGGCTGCACAGCAACAGTAAGATTTCCTCAGAACTTATTTTGCGATAATCTTTTGACTCCCACTTTTCTACATGTTATCAGGGTTATGACCAATGAGCTGTGGTTTTGTATTCCCTGCAAGAAGGATTTTAAGCAGTCTAATTGGATAGATTCTTTCTTTTTCTTCCCTAAAATTCATTGGACCAATGAGATGATTCTAGTCACCCCCATTTACTTGATTGGATTTCTTGCCTTAACTGTGGCATCTTTTGGTTTGCAGGCATGAAGCTGAGCTTGTAGCCGCAGCCAGCCAGCCCCTTCCCGATGATGATGATGATGCATTTGAGTAGAAGGCTTTCACTGCCCTAGGGCCTTTCAACATTTTCTGCTGCTTTTTCATCTTCCCTTTGTTTCAATTTGATGTCATCTTCTTAAATTTTCAAATCATATGGCGGAGTTTGGTTATCAGAAGTGGGGGGGATCAATGTAGTTAGATTTATCGCATATATTTGTTATGGGGTATTTGATGGTGTTTTGTCGTTGTTGGTGCCATGTTGGTGTTTTGGGTTTTGCTTCGATTAAACCCTTTGTGCGCCAATTCTATTTGTTTTGAATTTGAACCAGTTAGTGAGAAGAATATTCGAATTCTCCTATGCGCTATCTTTGGGTGCTTGAAAAAAGATGTTTGGGTACTGGATGGTTTAGGGTGCTCGCAACGCATCCATGATAGGCTTGATTGAGCACTGCTGACCCTGGTCTGTATTCTGATGTAAGTCGGATTGAAAAAAAAATAACGTGTTGACTTGCCATAGCCCAACTGAGAAATGAAGCAGAAGCAGCTAACCATCAGACTACCTTCTCTTTGGAAGATGTTTGATTTCTTCGAGCTTTTATTCGTTTCTTCCTTTCAAACATCTTAGGTTTCAAATCTTATCGTATTGGTTTATGATGGTTGATCTGCTCTCATCCACTTCTAGACTAACATTTAATGAGGTTGCAATTTCTTGAACAATCACGAGTTATTTAGTGTTGAATCCGGAAAATTTTTCAGAGGCGTATAATTGGTTTTTGGAGTTTAATTCTTATCTAGTTAAACGAGCATTTGTTGTCGCGTTACTCAAAGTGTGAATGCCCTTTTATTAAATAATAATAATAAGAACAATAATAATAATAATAATAATAATAATAATAGTAAATTTTAAAATTTTGGTTGTATATTATAAATATTAAAAATTAATAAAATGTGTATTTAACATTTTAAATTGGTCTCCGAGTTCAAAATAAATAGCATTAACATGTTTATTAATTTCAAAGTTAATATAAAATTAAAACTCAAAAATCAAAGTCAACCAAGAATTGGCTTAAATAATATGCATGTTAGTCAGATTCCTAGATTTTAAAGGGTTTAAAAGGACTTGGTCACGTAATAAGACACATAGATGAGTTTAGCAGTTAATGATTAGGGGTGAAGGGTAGATCAGAAATTAAAAAAAAACTTCAAAAATAAAAAATAGAAGTAATTATATATTATAAAAAATTCTTGAATTAGAATTAAAATCGCACAAGCCCTTATTAATAATTTTATTATAATTAACTAAATTCTCAAATATTTATTTTTATCAACTAAATTCTTATTAGGTGAAAATTAATTAACCATAACGTTTGATTGTAATAAAATAATAAAGATTTGAATAATTATTTAAGTTTTATTAAAAGACTTTTATATACTTAAGCCCTAATTGTATATTGTAAAAATAATTAAAATTAATAAAATGAGTTTAACATATAAGTTTGTTTGATGGACATATATGTATCATATGTTAATTAACATAATTCAAACCCCGAAAAAATCAATTTAAATTTAAATTCATGTTTATTTATCAAATAAATTAATTTAATGGATTCTTACAATGGAAGTTCTTAATTATAAATTTGGTATATCTTATTAATATTTACAAGGAAAAATTAAACTGACAATTTAAAAATATAATGAATATAGAGATTTTTTTTTCAGTTCAAAACTTTTAATGAGAGTTTTTCAATGGAAGTGAATTTTTGTCTATAACTTGAATATATTGCATTAATGTTTAAAATAAAATAATAACTGGGTAATTTTAGAAATATAATGAGCATATATATATATTTATTTTCGTATAGTCAAAAGTTTTTCCATATACGTATTCTTATGTATATATTATAAATATAGATTTTGTTGATATTAAAATATAAATATTGAGATTTTAAAAGTTATTATTTATAAAAAATATGAAAAATAAAAATAAAAAACACATAAATATTAATTTAATCAGCATAATAAATAGTAAAAATTATATTATGGATAAATAAAATTTTATTTATTAGAAGAGTATGAAAAATAGTAATAAATAGCTAAAAATATTAAATTTTAATTAAGACAAATGAAAATGAATGAAATCGAAGGGTTAAACAATAAATAGTAATTATTATGTATAAAAAATTATAAAATTATTGCGAGATATAGGATTTTTTACTCCATAATAACACCAAGAATCTATAGAGCATAAAATGTAAAAATTTTAAGTTTGAAAATAACAATTCACTTGCCATATATATTAAGTACGAAATATATGTTACTAAGATATTTTTTAAATTATAATTGTAAAATATAAGTTATTTTTTAATTAATAATTGATTTAACAATACAGTCTTACATCATTTAATATTATAAGAAATATGTTTGTTTGAAATTGAAAAATTTTATATTAAAAAAATCTTAATTATAGAGCGAAAATTTTTTTCAAACCAAATTAAAATAATAAATAACGTTTGTGATCTCCAAATTTTGGACTTAATTATATTTTGATTTTTAAACTTTAAAAAATTTTAATTAAGTCTTTAATTGCTTAAATTTGTATTAATATAGTCTCTCCATTACTTGTGCTGTTTAAATTGATGAAAAAATGCTCCTTTTTCATTGTGTCTTTAATAAGTGTACACTAGATTTAGGGTTAAAAAATAAACAATTTATTAAAAATGCATTCCATTTAGGATTTGATATTTTAAAGTTTGTTGAATTTAGGTTTAGAGAATAATTTTACTATCAATGATAGAACCCACATGTATCCTTAAAAGAAATTTACAAGCCCAATATCAACTTATTAAAGACGTGATAGAAAAAAAGTATTTTTCTTATCAATTTTAACGGTACAAATGACAGAGGGACTACATTAATATATTTTTAGAAATTTGAGAATTTAATTAGATTTTTTTAATTCAAAGACCAAAATTAAATTAGATTTTTGAAAACCATAGATGCTATTTACTTGTTCAAACCATGATGAAAAATCAAAACAAGAATTCTTGCTGGGTCAATGCCTTCTAGCGGTGCACTGCATCGTAGTTGATAGAAATGAATAGCGTAAAAACATTCAAATTATAACATAATTTGGTTATCTTATTTGGTATTTTATACAATTGACTTCAGAATATGAGATATAAAACTTAATATGTTATTGATGTTTGTTGTTGTAGATGCTATTTGTATTAAAAAGCTATAACTAATATTGAGTATTTCAATATAAAGATATATTGTTTATTGAAAAACATTTAAATCAATTAGAGAGATTAATTTACTCAGATACACTTATAACTTCAAAATCAATAAATCATGACCATTAAAGATAAAAAAAAAATGACATCTGCATGCAATTTTTTTTTTTTTTGAAATAAATGAAAGAAAAAAGGCTTTAAAAAATTTATGTTAAAGAGATCAAAAAGCAAGGAGCATCTTCATTGAATTTAGAAGGATCATGGGAAATGAGAACATCAACAGAGATTCAAACCCTTCTGAAGTCAAAATAAGAATTGTCCAAGAAGCATGCCTGATATTTCATTCTATTTATTTACTTTCATAATGTCATTTACTGTATATATATGTATATATAATGTCATTTAATCATACAATTTGCCAATTTCTTTTTTATTCAAGTAACCAATACTTTCCTCACACCATCTCATGCTTTCAGGATGGTTAAAGTCACAGTTGAAAAAACCTTCATTTAATCATCAAACTATAAACGATGTAAGATTATATCTAAATAACAAAAAGTACCTACATCCTGATTTCCTAGCTTGCATTCTTCTAATGAAAACAACTTTATCAGCCAAATTCGCTAAAATTTACAGCAGCACTACCACTATAACTCATTTACCATGGATTTGGATCAAAAAGACTGATTCTATTTACTGCAATTAGCAAATAGATCCTCCAGCAGTTTTACTTTTCATCAGTTCTGTAAGTTTGGTCCCAATGAGGAAGGAGTTCAGAACAAGAATGTCACCGAAAGCAGTGTCTTGCTTCACATCAACGAGTCCTTTAGTTTTCAACACCTGCAAATTTGCACATATACACCATTGTTAATTTTCACATCAAATGTACCTATGGCTATTTAGCTGTCAGTTTGAAGATTCCAAGTTCATAGGGTGTAACAGGGTTTGAACTTTGTGACTAATCCAAGCTGGGTAGATCTCATCTTAACAAGCCCTACTCAATGGCATTAACCAATCAAGCTACTGAACCCAACTTGAGTCAAATGACCACTGCTCAAAAAAATTGATTCTCAAGGTTGGGCATTGCAATATACCAGTATCTCATAAAAGAGCCTTGCACTTGCTTTCTTTGTTGTTCTTTCCAAAAGCTGTGATAACTTCACCTTTTCCTTCTCCCCTCTTTTCCTTTGATCTAGAAAGCTTTTCTGCAACTGCTTTGCCACCATTCTGTGTATCAAAGATTTAACTAATTGGGAGGAAAGTTTGCAAGTGATCATAAGGGACGATGTTAACTGTTCAAGTCAAAAGAGAGTGTAGTAAAGGCTGCATTTGTCTTACCTGGTTCTCATTGACCATCCATCTGCAATTCATGGCAACATTCAGGTAAGAATACCATATGTAACAAAAACATGCAATCTAAAATGAACCCACTGACCAAATCAAAGTTTAAATTAAAAGAACAATTTGAATAGCTCTTACCCTGTCCCTGGTTATCATCTTCATTTGAATGTATCTCCTGACCAAAATACTAATCAAGTAAATAACTAACAGATGATGCTTTAAATAAGGAAGACAACAAACGACTAACATGTGAATTGATAAAGTTACATGAACAGATAGAAGCTGATAAACCATCCAGCACAGAAAGACACCACTGATGTCTCATATATTTTGGTTTGGGTTCCAAAGTCCAACCTTATCATGCTTAGATGATCTAAAATCTACTTTGACAGATGTTGCATGTCAAATATCAGAACAGAATAGGTGGATGCAATACATTGTTAAGTTTGTAAGCTAATGCCTATGTTTTGTAACGTGCATCAATGTACAAGCCCTGCCAGATGCTTGTGTTAATTGTAATCATAATTTCACCTCGCCCACCAGATTAAGATCAAGGTCTTCATCTTTGCTCAGGGAAGGCTCTTTTTCTACAATTTCATTCAGAGAAGGATCTTTTTCTACTAATGCCTATGTTTTGTAACATGCATCAATCTATAAGCCGTGCCAGATGCTTATGTTAATTGTAATCATAACTTCACCTCACTCACTGGATTAAGATCGAAGTCTTCATCTTTGCCCAGGGAAGGCTCTTTTTCTACAATTTCATTCAGAGAAGACTCTTTCTGTATACTTTCACTAGGATCCATATTCGCTGATCCTACTTCATCTAAGTTATCACAATTGAGGTACTCAGGGCTCTCAAATGGTCTCAGTGATTTTGATTGCAGAACAGGTGTTTGTGGAGCAATTTCTACTTGTTCTCCCACAACAAGCGAAGGTGACTGCTGAGTAGGTGTTTGAGGAGCAATTCCTGCATGCTTTGAGGATGCATCAAGTGGAGGAGATCCTGAGAGGTTTAACTTATCTGGAGGATCCCTGATTTCAACGGTCTGTGGAGCAATTTCTGCTTGCACAAAGGATCCAACAACAGGAGGAGGTTCTAAAGTGTCTATCTTTTCTGAAGTTTTCATGATTGATTCCAGAAGTCTTAATCTCTTTCCACGGTAGAGAGATTTAAGCTCCGAGGTGCCTGCCAAGAACATGATTAGTAAAGAGACATAGCTAGAGTACGACCATGTAGAAATATGATAGGGCAATTACAGGGAACTGAAGGCTCTGAGAAACTCTGGGGAAGGTTGGAAATCCAACAAGTCTTCCTTCCAGCCAGAGCAGTACGATCACCTTTTCTCTGCTTAGACACCAAATCACTAGAATCTTTTATCCATTGCCTCATTATGCTGCAAATATTGAACATGCGATCTAATGAATTGTAAAGTTATCAGCTGTCCGCTTCAGTTATTTCTATCCCTTACTTTTTCCTTTACCAACATCCAATATCCAAAGTAAAAAGTTAAATTATATTATTTCCTGTAGAAAGGTGCCACAGCTATTAAATCCATTGCAAAAAGACAGCATGAGCTGGGCATGTTACAATCCCAAAAGAAAAAAAAAAAAGAACAAGCAAATTGAAATTAGATTATTCTAAGCTATAGCTGCATCAACCATAGTGGAGTGCATGAGGAGCCAAGTGAAAGTAAACTAATGTTTACCATAGAATTCCCTTTTGGCGTGGCCATGTTGCAGCAGTAGATGCACATCTAATATGTGGCAACACCATCAAATTACAGCATCTAGCGATGTAAGATCAAATGCCCAATTTAATACACAGCACAGCTCACGACAACACATGTTATTTCCAATTACATCATAAAATCCAATCCATGACTATTTTGCAAGGCAACAAATACAATTACTGTTGTCATGTTTTATAATCATGCTCAGCACCATGTATAAGTCTAGTCTACAGTTGATGCAGATTAAGAATCTAAAACTACTTGACTGAATATAGAAAGGGAGAAAATTTGTGGTAACCATAGCTTACCTATTAGGGAAAACTATTACGTCATCGAAGAAACATTTTCTTTTCCTGGTAAACCGAGCATGCTCCTTAGTGGCAGGTGTTGGGATAAGCATAAAATGTGGTGTAGTAGGTCCTGCTTAAATGAGACATTATGTATTGGACAAATCTTTTAAACATCAAATACAAAATTTATGACTTAAAAGGAAGTTTTTCAATTAATTCTACAAAGCATAGATTGAAAAAGGTCTATGTTACTTGAACTTGGAGGCAAGTATCGTCTAGTGTACATTCAACTTTTTCTAATTTTTTTCTCATCTTTGGAGGGAAGACCTCCATACCATGCCCATTTATTACATGGTTAATTCATGGAAAATGAAGAGTCAAAGCAACAAAGAAATAGATTGCAGATGTCAAATCAAAAAGGCAAGAATTATGTCAACTGTCCAACTCATCAAACAGAAATTTGAAAGGATGTATTCTGAAGGTGCTAGAAGAGATACCAGCTTAATGTTTCTTTATACCTGAAGCATCTTGCAACATGGACCGAGGAGTTGCATCCAATGTAACTGACAATGTATGGTCTTTTGCAGCAACCTGACACTTTCCATCCTTGGAAGTTGTCATTGCTGGAAAATGCAGTTGCTCTGCACCAGTTTGAATCTCTTCACCAAGTGGTTTAACAAGTGGGGAAGGTTCCTCAACGTTCATGGGAGAGAATCCTTGACCCAGAAGCTTCTCCATGCTTGCGCCCAAGTTGCTATCTTCCTCCATAACATGGTGCACTTCATTTTCTATTTGCAACCTATCCAGACCATTCATCATCTCTCTGTTAGTTTGTTCTTCACCAAAAGATTTGATCAGACTTGCAGATTTCTCCTCAATTTCAGCAATATGATTCAAATATTTTTCTTGAGAGAATTTATCATTATAATTCTCCCTGCTTGCTTCAGTTCCTATATGGTTTTCTGAGCCTGCAATGTCTGGAACCTCTACATTTGTTTTCAGGGTGCTTACATGATCCTCCTCCATAACCTGGTGCACTTCATTTTCTGATTGCAGCAGATCTGGACCCTTCATCTTTTCTCTATTAGCTCGATCTTCACCAAGAGACTTAACAGAGCTTAAAGGTTCCTCCTCAGCCTCACTATGAAGGTTCACCCCTTCTTTTGAAAAGAACCTACCATTCCATTTCTCCCTGCCTGCTTCTCTTTCCGTATGTTTTATTGAGCCTGCAATGTCTGGAACCTTTGCACTTGCTTCCAGGATGCTTAAATGATCTTCCTCCGTTGCCTGGTTCATTTCCTTGTCTGATTCTGATAGATCTGGACCCTTCGTCTTTTCCTTAATACTTTGATCTTCAGCAAGTGGCTTAGGAGAACCTAGAGGATCCTCCTTGGCCTCGCTACGAAGGTTCACACATTCTTCTGACGGGAATCTATTATTGTATTTCTCCCTGTTTGCTTCTCGGTCCATATGGTTCTCCAAACCTGCCATGTCAGGAACCTCTACATGCTCTCTGTCATTTTTATAAAAAATTTTAACAAGGTTTGGAGGTTCTTCCTCAACCCCACTAACTAATTTGAGATGAGAATCCTCTTCATGCAAGGACTTATCATATTGAAGTTTTTCCATGCTAGCTATCCAGTCACATATATCATGTGATGTTCTTGCTTCTGTCTCAAAGTCTGTTGGGTGGCATGAAAGACTGCTGCAAAAAGAATATGTTTAAAAAAAACTTTTTCAAAAGTTTAAGCTTCTCTAAGAAAGACAAAAAAGAACATGTGTCAACATATAGAATTTCTGAGAACCTAACAATTGAGATTTGTGTGCATACTCTTCAGTTGAAGTGTAATCCATCAAGAAATCATCATCCAAGGCCGCAAACTGCTCAGAATGAAAGAGTAACTTGAGAAAATCAAAATTTTTTTTGGTAAGTGCCAAAATCAACAGTAAATCTTAGCATGAAAACCTCTATTGACAATCTGACAATCTTTAAAAACCATTCAAGTATCTATATCATATATTATAGGTTATTGAGGTTCTGTACTGACAATCTTCCATAGTAAAATTGCCCCTCTGTAGATTTGAGAGCATCTTACAACAGGTTCTATGTGAAAGACTGATATAAACATGTTAAACTAAGTAGATTTTGATCAAATTACCATTTACATAATATGACCAGATGATACATACCCTGTCTAGAGAAGATTGCCTTATTCCAACATTTTTCCAATTTACATCTGTTTCATCAATGTTGAGTTAATGAAAAAGCACAAATGCGATAAGGTAGAAAGAAAAAACTGAAGCAAAATCAATACCTTTAAGGGTTATCTCTTCACGAGGCACCACATTACCTCTAGAAAATGGAACAACCATAATATTTACAACAAATAAAAATAACATGAAGTTTGTAATTAAACTAGATTATTAAATTAGCTTACCCACTAGTATCTTCAAGAATTTCCAGATCAAAAGCATCTAAGTCAAAGTTCACAGGTCGAGTAATAGAGAAACAAGTTGCACGGAGGGCCTCTTTCTTTGCTCTATTTTTTTCTCCAACCACAAATTCCTTTATCTTAATCAGCACCTCTTGGCAGTCATCAAAAAGATAATCAACCTTTTTGGAGTATATTCTGACAACACCAAGAAGGAGGTATGCTAATACTCTATAAGAGAAAATCTCCAGCTGATCTTGCAAAATATTATCTGCATGACAAAAAAAAAAAAAAATGACAACAAAATTCAGAAGTTTTTGTCTCAGCAAAGATGAGAAAGACGTGTAGTTTTGGCTTATTCTTGAATACACCAAATGAAATAAAATCTTGACAAAATGTCTTAACTGAGAAAAACAACTCAATTAAATTGCTAAATAAAAATGCATATTTAAAGACAGGAATTCAGCAAATTGTAAAAAATTCAAATGCTACCTAATTTTATCAGGCACATGTAATACCCGATAGCTTCTTATTATTTCAACTTGAAGCAAAATTCCTTAATCTATAGATAGGCTTAAAATAATTTTTAAAAATACCATAGGATTGAAAATTTGAAATGAAGCCCCAAGAAACTTGATCACAATAACATGTACTTTCAAACAAGAAACAACACGGTAAAGAAAAATAGAAAAAGAAAAAAAAAATCAGCAACAACTACAAGGGTTTACGATTATCTCAGACATTCGGGCACTAAACATATGAGAGGGGCAAAAGAAACAGAAAACAAAAGCACCCTTTGCAGCAATTTATCATGCAATTCCCATAGACCATCTACAATACTTTCCTTCTTTCACAATTCATTTATACAATTTTCATCTCAACACAAAAACCAACACGTGTAAACCAAAAAAAAAAAACACACAACAATAGCTTTTCTTTTACTTCTTATATAATCAAAAAATGAGAAATTTGAAACAGAACAAGAAGAATCTAAAATGGGCCTTAAAAATGTGCTCCCGTTGAAGTCTCAGTTTTCTTTGAAGTTTCATTTTTGGCACATAAGAAGCAAAGTTAAAAAGAAAAGAACAATGGGTATTTGAAAAGGATAAGAAAAAAGGAGACTAACCAACAGAAGAGGATATATTAGTCTCAAAGATTTGAGCTGTCTTGAGGTTTTTGAAGAAATAAGCAGCAACCCATATGGCGCCTAAAGGCCCTTTCTTTGAAACAAGGCACTTTGAAAGACACATGGTTTGTTTTCTTTTGCTCTCTGGTTCTTCTTATCTTCTTTATTTTGGGTTTTGATTTGTATAAACAAAAATAAAGAGATTTGGAAGCTTGGAGAACTCTACACTCTGCAGAAGAAGAAGACGAAAAGAGCAGAGCAAAGGGCATTCAAGTAGAGAACGGTCGAGTTACGTACCTCGCAAGTAGAGGTGGCAATTGGGTTGGTTCATACGGGTTCGGATAGGGGCTTTTTTTTTTGGACTATTTTGCATTTGGATTATTTTCGTTAGAAAATTTTGGCTGTGAATCATTTTGGTTTTAGATGTTTTTAGGTTTGGAGAGTTCAGATTAATTAAATTATTTTTAGGTTCTATAAAAGACGTAATTATTTTAGCATCTTTTCAATGTTGATAGAATTTAAATTTAGTTAATTTTTATTTATTTATTATTATTATTTGAACTTAGATCATGCTCAACTTTTTTTAAATTCAAAATTTTAACTTTTTTTTTTTTATTAAATCAAATTTTAACGGGTTCATATTCACATTTTTTTCAATAAATTTTCAAATTCAAATTCATTTTGTCACCTTAACTTTTTAGCCTCTCATTTAAAACTTATTTTACGAGTTTTATAATTTATTTAGATAAATTATGAAATTAATTTTAATGAACTTAAAAATAACAATGACAACGAGATTAAGAATTATAAAAGTAAGATTGATACAAAAATGATAAAATATATATGTTTTGATATAAATATAATGTAATAATAGTGAGATAAAATGTAACAAAAAATATTATTAAAGATATTAGATTAAAATTGATGTATGATGAATTATATGTATATATTATATTTATAAAATTAACAAATAATTGAAAAATTAATAAAATTATTTTTATATCAAATAATTATTAATTAATTTATTAAATAGTTATACAAATTAATTTTAAGACTTTAAATTAGAACAAAAAAGAATAAAATAACAAAAGAAAGAAAATCAAATAAACAATGAAAAATGCAAAACCAGAGTCCACAAGTGCAAACACAGATTCGTCGTCCATGTATCGTAAGGACATAAAAGAAAAAAAAAAAAAAAGGATAAGATAAGAAAAAAAAGTGCGGTGAAAACTTAAATTTCCAGTGGAAGGTCAGGACCAATACAATTACACCTCACTACAGGTAACTGCTCATCTAAATGGGGTCTTAAGGGGTAGAAAGTGTCACACAAATTCTTTGTTTTGTTTTGTTTTTGTACTTTGAACGCTGTGCTTGACAGTTTTAGTTGCATTGCCCCTTATTCGACTCTTTTTGCAGTTAAAAAAAGTTTTAATTTATAAATTTTTGGAAGTATGCAATTTATTTTTCTTTAGAAATGTAATTTAAAATTTTAAGTCTTGTGCAATTTTTACTAATCACTTTTTTCCTGCAATTTCAAACATTATATATTGCAACCGAAAAAGTATTAAATCTCATAAAATGGTGATATTTTAATTAATTTTAAATCTCATAAGATTTGAACAGAATGATGACATCAACTGTTAAGAAAGTGCTATAATGTACATATCTTATAAATATAGAAATACAGTAATTGTTATTTAAATATTAATAAATGTTATATGCTATCAATTAATTTCATTAATGAGTAAAATAAAAGTAGTATGATCTTTAAGAATAATAGTAAGTGAGGTAATCATGCTACTTACTAATATTTACTTTAAAAGATCAGATTACTTTTTTTTTTTTTATTTTGCTCAATATTTTATCATATGATTGATTGATAATGTATCAATGTATCAAATATTAATTTTTAATATTATGTCAAATGGCGAAATCAAAGATGGTGAGTTATGTATAATTCACTTTTTTATGGAAATAAAATTTTTTATAACTGATATATAACTACCTTCAATATTAGTTAAGAGTCCATATTTCAACCAATGCTTTTATGTTATGTTCAAAATTTTTTTCTTAAATTCATAAGTTAATCTATTAGAGATTTAGGCTGCCTTTGGAATTGGACGGGCGTCCGACATAATGAGATCAGGCACTTTTTAGTGCAATGGGATTGACCTTTGGTGTTCGGCATAAAAAAATAGTGCATTTGCACCCAAATTTGCTAAAATTTCCATCGGAGGGAGAGGGGTGCGGTGGTTCACTGGATCCCAAATTGGATAATTATGTCTTCATGTATTAATTTTTAGTATAATATTTATTAATTTATGTTTAATTTTATCCTCATGTATTGATATTTTCTATTGAATAATTTTTTCATTCATTAAAGCTATCAAATAAAATATAATGTAAATAAAAAATAATTTATTAATATAATACCCTTTAGGTCGATATTTTTTATTGCAAATATATTATTATTAATTTTTAATAAAATTATTAATTTATAAAAAATAATTACAATAAATTTTAATTAATTATTAATTTATAAATATTAAAAATACACTAAATTTTTATTATATACAAATTTTAATTTAACGTCTTTAATATGCATTTTTTATTCTCCCGGCACTTCATTTTATCACCATCGCTATGTTTGCTTTTAAACACATTTTATTACTGATTTTAATCTTATTACTACAATACTCAATTTCATCATTATAATAACTAATCCCACTACTACTAATATTTTTAATTACCATAATCAATCTCATTGTCCATTTAAATGAATCTTACTCAAACTCAATTCTCTAGTTCTTTTTATAAACCTAATTTCCATTTCATTCAAATCAATTTTGAGAATAAACTTTATCTATGATCTCTAATATTTTCTTTTGATTTCACTTTAATTTTTAATTTTTGAATTATTTCATTTAAATTTTAACCTTTTAAAATTGGTTCTATTTTGATCTTTTTGTTATCGAATTTTGTTAAAACTGATGTAATAGATAGTATTTCAGTTGCAATTTTTTTATTACAACTATACAATAGTTCAATCACAACAAAAAAATACGTAAGAATCCATCACTTATAAATGTAAGTTTTATACTAGATCTTATACAATTTAAAATTGTGCTTGGTTAATTGTAATACAAAAATTGTACATTATATACTTTCAATTTAATATCCTTATTTTAGCTTCTGTGTGACATAGATTTCCTTAACATGCTATGTGCACATTTTCTTTAATTATTAATGAAAAATGCGAAGAAAGAATCAAAATTAAATTACTTTAAAAAGTTAATTAATCAAATGGAGTAATTTAGAAATTAGGGATTGAAGTGGAATCATTATAGAGAGTATGGATAGAATTAACCTCAATTTTGAGTTAAATTTAATGTAATTAAATGGGATTTGAGAATGAAAGCTTAAATTGATTTACCACAAATCTCATATTGAAATTATTTTCACACAAATCAATATAATTATTAATTATTTTTTATTAATTCTAGATGATTCATTTAGGGTTTCTAAGAGTTGATGTTTAATATAGCACATGTTCATTATATGTTTATATTCACCCACTTTGATTTATCAAACCTCTATATTAAGGGATTGCAATCATCAATATACTCATATATAAAAAGTATCCCTTAAAGGATCTAGGATTGTCATGTGTACTTTTTTTTTTTGGATTTTTTTACAGTTGATTGGCATTTCAATAAGACCAAGTGGAATGTTTTACTGTGACCAAAAAGCATAAACTTCTTTGATTGATCACAGGTGTTTTCTTTTGTTGTTTTATGTTTGATAGGTGTGTTTTAACTCTAATTTTGAAGCTTCTTTTTGGGGTTTTCATTGCTGCTTTAGAGAGTGAAACTTTGGCATCAAAAAGAGCCTTTTTGGTCTGTATTTGTTGGTTTTTTTTTTTTTCATATTTTTTCAGGCATTTTTTGGTAAAATCTATGGTTATTTTTCATTGTTTAATTGAATGTGGGCTTTATTATTATTATTTTTTTTTGGGTTTTGTTGGGATGATTTTGCTATTACACATATTTTTTTTGTTTAATGGAATTGGATTGTCAAATGGGGCTTAGGTTTTGTGTTTTTGAGATTTGCATATTGTTATGAATGTTTTTTTCTTTAAAAAATTTTTTTTGCACTTTCTGATGTTGGATGAAAATTAGATTTTTTTTTTATAGAAACATAGTTTGCATGTTCTGTGTTTTTTTTTAGGAGTATTTTGTTTTGCATGTTGTTTAAATAAAGTTTTGATTTTGTTTTTGATTGGTTTTTTTTTCTTTTTTGTTTTAGGGTTTCTTGAAGCTCTTTGGATATCAAAATTTTAAATTAGCATGAATTGTATTATGTGTTATTTTTCTTTATATATTATGTATTTTGGTTTGTTAGGTTGTACGTGTTGTTTATTTTTTGACATTTTATATTTGATTTCTACCTATCAAGTGATTCGTCTGAAGTTGAGATTATTATTATTCTTATTATTATTATTGAGTTTTATGTTGTGCTATATTTGATTGTCTATATTTGACTGCTTTTGAGACGTTTGTAAATATCATTTTTTTCATGTAATAATTATATAAATAAACTTAGATTATATAATAGAAAATGATACTAAATACGAGCATTTGCAAGGTAAAAAGAAGTATGAAACCAAACAAGTAAGTGATTGGATGAATAAGCAGGAAGGAGATTAAGGAGTCAAAGATAAATGTGAAAAAAAAAAAATCTCACATTTGTAGTTGAAAAATTAGAAGGTCCCTCATTTCTAGTTTCTTGACTAACAGCAACTTTTTGAAACTCAATATGTAGCTTTAGAGCCTAAGAAAACAAACAAAATTGTTTATTAAAATTCGTCATCACGTATCAAATAAACAAGATACATTTTAATTAAAAACTTAACCAATGCACATAATGTAGTATCACAAATCAAAAAGAAGCTAACTATTAATTAATAGGCTTAAAATGATGTGGAAGGAAAGTAGTTTTTTTTTCATGTAATGTTGAAGACCATGATAGGTGTATTTGAAGTTTTAAGTTGTTTTATTGTTTATATGCTAGATGTGTATACTTATTTTGATTTAGTTTGTAACATATAAGATTTCTCAAAAGTCTTTGTTTCTTTTGTATGTATAGAGCGTTTTTTGCATATAAGATTTACATTTAGTTAGCTACTAGATATTTTGAAATTAATGAAGTAGAAGAATTTGAGTGCAATGGTTAAAGAATGTTACTTACGAATTATTGGAATATATATATATATAACTACAATTGAAATTATTTTTTTATTGTGATTTTTTAAAAATTGCAAGTGACTACTAATTGAAGGATTAAAAGACAAATAAATTAAAAAAAAAGATAATTCTTGTTTTTTGTTAGTAAGGTTATTTGTGTTTTCTTT